GGGGGAAGATTACAACTCGTTCACCCCTTCCCCAACTCGCGGGAGCACAGGGTTTCCCACCCCCCCCTTCCTTTTCTCCCCCTCCATCATCAGAAGGTGCCGCGGAGGAGGTGTAACCCCCTGCTCCCCCACCACCCCAGTTCCGAAAGTAGGGACTTTGAAAAGGACAGAGAATGTATATTAGAAGGGATACGCATGATAAATGTCGAGAAATCCGAAAGAAAAAGGGCGGTGCCTCGGCGCCGGATCGATTGCGGCGCCACTGTGAAGCACGCAGTAGAAAATAGGGATCATGCGCGAGCGGGAGATTTAAAGGAGCCGCGAGCCTCTCCAACCCACTACGCCTTAGAGTGAAAAAATTTTTAACTCAGTCACGGAGGAGCCAGGTCTGCAGATGGCCACATACCGAACGGGAGACATCTGATAAGAAAGACACAGCTGCGAGCAACGGAGACCCCGAGTTCGGCGCAGGATCAGCCCCCGAATCCCCTGAATCCGAGCCAGATTTATATCCTCTGCTTCCAGACCCTGACTCTTCGTCTCCCGGGTCGGTCTGCTCAGACTTACTGGCCCTGGAGACGCTCAGTTGTAACAATGGGTAACCAAATATGTGATCATTACTGGGGAATTTTCTGCAATGGGCATTTCTGCATATCCTGTGTTTACTACACAGCAGGGGGCTAAAGAGTGGGAAGCTCTTGATCTCAAAATAGTTAAGGAGGCCTGACAAACAGTGACCATGTATGCGTTAAAATCCTCTTATACTCAAGCTGTATATGTTATGATTTTTTCTTGCAACTGACAGGGGGAGCCCATACAGTTTCTCTGTGATACTCATGTATTAGAAGTTGGTAAATATAAGTATGTCCAGGTTTCTGTCAACCCTTGGAGACCTCTGTAGATACTGCTGGCCACTTCTTCCAGCACAGGCTGGCCACCTGTGTCAGAATGAGTGTGCATTTTGGTCAGTATAAAAGCCCAAGCCTCATACGATATGGGGGAGGCAGAGCCTCTGCGGGGACGCCCGCTAAGGTTGAGCCTGCCACCTCGCACTGCAATGATGCTTCTCGGAGCTGGTTTGCTGTTAGTCTCCACAGGGTCCTTGTGCCACGTTCTGTACGTGGGACTGTAGTGGGAGTAATGATGGCTTTTGCAGGGACTCAAAAAAAAAAAAAAAAAAAAAGGGGGGAGAGAGAGTAATGATGTTACATTTAACTTTAACCTGTCTACTTCTGAAGAACTGATAACCTGGGGGAGGGGGTATATTTGTGCCCTCCTGCCTACAGGTCCATGGCGACTGTGCAAAGTTTGTGAAGCCCTGCCATGAGCTGGACAGACGAATGGATAAACCTGATGCCTCAGCTACAGGAGCTGACTGTGATTACCCCAAGCAGAATGAGATAGAGGAAGAGAAAGAATGGATAACTGCAAAACATGACTTGGGGACAACTGAGTAACATCCTAAATATGTGTGCTTGTAAAGTAGCTATATTAGAGGTTGTGATTTTGTGTATAAAACCACCTGTATTTACTAGCTAGTTGCTAATAAGAAACTGCACCTTGTATTGTATAGATTTGTCACTTGTAAAAGAGATGTTAGAGTATGGAAATTTGCAGTAGCTGCTAGAAAATGCTAAGGCAAAAGCTAGAAAAATTTTAATACAATGGTAGTGTTATAAAGCAGGTGATGGAACAAATTAAGAGGGGGGGAGAATTCCACTGGTAAGAAATTTCTTTGGCTAGTCCTTCACTGCCATCAGCATCTTCAACATGCTGCTGCACCCTGTAATAGTTACTCTGCTAATGTAAATTTGTGTGTGCCTTGCTGTAGTAGCGATTTGTTACTGGATAAAAAAAAAAAGGGGGGAGATGTGGAGACAGTGTTCTCACAGGAGAATGCATAATTGGTACATAAACTTTGAATAGTCCGGAAAGATACAGCAAGGCCATGAGAGGCCTGAAGAAGCTTAAGCAAGCAAGATAAGAGGCTGGAATTCACCAAGTTAATGAGAACTGTGGACTGTTGGCAAGCTTTCAAGGTTGAGTTCTCACACCTGTGTGTAACCAATTATATGTTAGTCACTAAGGGTCTTCAAAACATGTATCCAATCATAATATGCCAAATCACTGTAAGTGCTTCAGCCGGGGCCTTGGCTCCACTAAGCAGACTGGGTTGCTGAGTTGCTAAGCAGACAATTCTACATCGAAGGCAATTTCTGATTTGTTTTAATGTTGACTCTGTGAGACATGCAACACTGCAGAACCTTTTGTTGTTGGAACAGGGACATGGATGTGAAGAGTTTGATGGAATGTCTTGTATGAGTCTCTGTGATTATGCTAATTTGATGCACGCACAGCTGAGAACCCTGGCTCAGCTTACCCAGCAATAGTAAATGAGCAATATCCTAAGAATAACTAGATGGTTGTCTTCACGGGGCATTACAGGTTGAGTCAAACACTGTTGTTTGAAGCATTGCACTTATGTATCATTGTTATGATCGTAGCTATTAGATCTTGCAAATCATCGTAGCTATTAGACTTGCTTATAGTTGTGTGATAAAACAGGTGAACAGATTAACCCATAATGCCTTGCTTGCACAAAGAAAAAGGGGGGAATTGTTGCAGAATGACTCTAAGAGCAGAACCATAGAGTTCTGGAGGACTGTGCAAGCAAGGCAGGGGGTGGGCCCCACAGGTGGCCGGAGACCGGACCTGGGAGGAGAATGTGGAGGAAGCTGTGGGGGCTAACCAATACTGTTATGCCAAGAAGGAGTGGCTGAATACCACTCCTATATATGTGTGAACTGCGTCACAAATAAATTAGAAGTTGCTTATCACCCATATTGGGTTGGCCTGTCTGCTTCTCCTCGCCGCTTACAGTACAGTTCCTTCAAGAGATCCAGCATCAATACCTCCAGATGTTTGTATAGACTAGTGTCAGTTTGCTTAGTCACTGCACTCACACAAAACAGCAAGTCCAGTGTCTGCAAGGAAAAAAGGAAAATGATTCTTATCCCCCTGAGGGTGGCCAAGCACAGTCACAGTATCTCACAAGCGAGATTCAGCCAGAGCTGAGAACAATTCGGTTGCCACCAAATAGTTCAGGACTGCCTTTGCATCTGCATCAGGACTGCCTTTGCATCTGCATCAGGACTGCCATAAAACACACAATTTGGGGCAGTGTCTATAATCTACCAATTGTGGACATGCAGTATCAGCTTGCTCCTTCTCACACCCTTTTCCGTGACTGGTGGGGTTGAGGATGGCCCCTACCTGAGTCCCCACACCCTTGGGTAGGGAGTATTCTGGAGGGTAGATTTTGTCCAGTTAAGCCCACCAGCACTTTTGGATCACTGACTAATGCTGTGCTTGAGCATTTTGGGCATTTCCCCACTGCTCCAGTCCTACCAGCCCATCTGTGCTAAGCACTTACAATCAACTGAGGGAAACAGAGTAATGAAGATGTATTTAATAAACTTAAAATGCCCAGTAATACTAAGGCCATAAATGATAGAATCACAGAATATGTCCCTACTGAACACAAGTGCATGTGTCCTGTCTTTCACACTGCTACCTCCTGTGCTCTTCAAGATGCCTTCCTGAGCTTCTGTGGTTTACCTTTAATTCTTATTTCTAGTCAAGGTGGTTTGAATCCTACTAACCCTTAAAGCTGTCACAATGTAATTAGAGAAACCCAAGCTGGATCAAACTATTTTTAATGAAGTCCTCTGTTAGAAACATGCATGCCAGGAGGTAAAGTGCTATTTTGTTAGATTTATTCTCAATTACCTTTATGCAGATGTTAGTTTGGGGCTGCAGCTGTGGAGCTACTGGTGACTCACATCCAGTGCAAGTGGGTGTATTCACTGGCAGCAGATGGCAGCAGATGTCTGCATTCAAGATATGGCACCATCTGAAGAAAAAGCCGTATCATATCATTAAGGTTATCATGAGGTTTTTCAGTATTTTCCTGGTTAGAGTCTGCAGCAGCAAAGTCACTAGAAACATAGCAGCTGATAGCCACAGCTGCTGGTACTGATCCTTACAGATCAAAGGCTATTGAGAAAATATGAAGACAACTAGAAAGAGTGACTTCACTGACAACTAAAACTAGGCCAGAATGGATCTAAGTTAGTTTTCAGTACAGTTAAAAAGCCAGAGAGAATACAGTTACAGGCATCACTGTAAAAGCTTGGTGCTCTTACATATATGCCCACACCTGCCACCGTTCGAGGCATTTATGGATCTTTTATGACATAAGCGTTAGTTACTAACTAACTGCACTAGTTAGTACTGGAACAAGATGCATATGCAGGTCCTGATGATGCACTGGTTGTTGCAGGATGAAGAGAAGCCTGAATTTGGTCACATTTCCTGACACTGGCAAAGAAAACGCAATTTACTTTTCCAGTCTTACTCTTACTAACATATATGGCACTTGAAGGAACCTATGGTTCATTTTGCCCATCATTTAAGAATTACATCCAGTGCTAAATGTATTGAACAAAATCACAGAATCACAGACTGGTTGGGGTTGGTTTCCTAATAAAATGTGCCCTCATAAAAAATAATCATGAAATGCAAACAAAAGTCTCAAGTCTCAAAGTTTTACATGAACATGTAAGCAAGGTTATATAATTATATAATATATACAATTATATATAAATATACATAATTAAAATTATTATCTATTATAATAAAAGAAATGCTTATATAATATATCTATGTTAGCATTATAAATCATACACTTATTTATTATATTAATAAATGCTTTTCAGCCCAGTTGGGCCCATGACACCTGAGACCATGCGTGTGCATATGTGTGTGTGTGTGTGCGCGTGCTGTGGGGGGTGCTGGGTGTGGGGGCTGTGGCATCTGGAGAATGGCTTCCCTACATGTAAAATGTGCACTTGCTGGGTATGTGACAGGGCTCACATCCAGCCCCACCATATTGCTCATCCCAGTGAAGAGTGGCCATAGTGGCACACTGGCTGGTTTTTGAGAGACCCAGTAACAGGAGGGAAAGGCACCAGCAAGGGTCTACTGACCCATTCCAATTGCAAAGTTCAGCAGTCAGAGAAAGACAAAGGCATAGGCTAACTGCAAGATGAAGATGTACTTACAGTACAGGCTTTCTCCTCCATAAAAAGCAAAAGTACGCTGAGCACCTGGACGCAATTTAGTCATCTTGGTTGTGTTAAAAGTCTGTACAGGAAGAAAAATCAATACCACAGTGATAAGCACTGAATTCTGTGTTCACAGGCTCTGAAATTTAGCAGCTTAATACAAATCGCATCATTCTGCTTGATGTTTCATTAGATCGGTCAGCACTGCACTCCAGTACTGTGCAACCTGTTTACATATATAAGGACTCATAGTAGTGTCTTACACAGGTGTTTAACTTTAAACTATACAGTTGGCAAACAGGGCTGTTTACCACATGCCTGAAACCTAGAGATACGGAATTGGAATGTCAGAAATATACTTTTAAGTTACACAAATGCTTCAGTTTCATTAAAGAAAAGCTGCTCACATAAAAGGCAATAGTAAGGAAATAAGAACATTTGAAAACCAAAGGCTTGTGTATATCACCACAATTGAACTGAAATCAACTGAGCTGTGCCATTCTGTACAAGCTGTGGAAGTGTCACAGCTTCCCTTACCTATCTGACAGTATTAAAACAGGAGCAGTCTCTAAATCAAATTACTCTTCCCTATTTCTGTTGTTCAATTCATGTATTTGCTCAGTTTGGGTGTTAAATAAAAGCAGTCAGTTCCTCATCCCTTTTTTTTAGTGTTCGGGTATCAGGATGCTGGGGAATTGTCTGGGATGTACCTAACCACAGCAGTACATTGACATTTAAACACCTGAAAATAACCCTGATATAACATTTGATAAATATTTCTAGTTTTCAGAAAACACTTCAACCCCACACTCAAGTCAAAAGACACGTATTTTTGGAGCTCCATAGAGGTCATCACTGTGCAAAAGCAGCTAAGCCTCTGCTTTGAAACCTGGCTGGTCTTTGGGCAAGTTTGAGGCAGAGCTTTCAAATTCTTCCACTGTCTTTTGAGAACCACAATGATAGAAATTCTCATGAATTCAAGAACACTTTTCCAAATAAACCTGTGTTTCTGCATCTTCCTTTCTCACCCAGTAAATGAGACTGGTTGATACTCAACTCACCTGCTCACAGGACACTGAAGCAAAAAAAAGTGCTTCATAGCTCTAAATTGCTTTGAAGAAAGGAGTCTTAGCTGAACACGAAGCACCATTTTCAGATTTAACACAAGGAATCACTGCTTAAGATATGCACATTTTCTCACATTGCATTTAATAGTGATTAAGAAATACAATTAGTATAGCTCTCACAGCAGGGAAGTATTTGTAACACCTACCTCTGGGTCACAAGTCAGGTTTGCATACTTGCACAGTGTTTGATTAGCCATTACTTTATACACAGGTTCTCCTGATGTAGCCAGAAAACTGAATGAGGTATTTTAAGGAGGAATCACAGAGCTGTGGGCTTTGAGCAACTCAGGAGTCTGCAGTGGGTAACCATGAGCTCTAAAACACTTGTGCTGGTAACAGAAAAACTGCTCTTGCTATGCAGAGATGTGTATGAAGGGTCACAGACAAGACTGAATACTTTCACTACTTGCAGAACTAAGGCAGAGCTGTATGCCATAGCCAGAATGGGCAAGGGGAATAACCATGAAGACTGACTCAGTCTCTCCTGCACATCCACCTCTGACAAGGCACATTATGCAGTAGTAGTTCTTTCAGTTTGAATGTTGGCGGAAGTAGACCCAGAGCATAAGGATACATCAACACTGTCCTGTACAGCAGGACTGACCCTCTTTGCATGAGAAAGAACAATTTGTTTGCAAAAAGCAACGGTCCCCTTTCTGACACCTTACCAAAGCCTTGCTTTTCCAGGAACAGACACTGGCTGCTGTCAGGCAATTTAGAGCACTTGGAGCACTTTATGTTCTCTCATTCTTTTCCTACATTATTCTGTACAAAACACATGTGGAGCCCACCCAAGCTAAGCGACCATTAACCTCATGGTCTATAGAGCATACAGCCAAGAAAAGACATATTCACTCTTTGCTAAGGTTTCTTTTTCACCCCTTGAAGCCAACCTTACGTAGTATAAAAGACCTTGTACGATCCTCTGCCTTGGCATGGATTTTAGTCCAGTTCTTTCTAATGAAATTTAATTCACTGTCCAGTTGGTACATCACACTCAAAAGCCCAGTGAGGAAGAGTGCACTGGTGCAGCAAGTGCCAAGTGACCAAATAGCCCTTTTCATGCTGGTTTGGCTAAGGTGAAACAGAGAATTATCTGGTCTTGTAGACTGTTCCTCCAGAGAGGTACACAGACAGAAGGATACACAGCTGTCACAGCCCTGTAGGAAATACAAACTTCAATGTGTATGAAGGTGACGATTGGGTAGAACAACGTAGACATTATATAGCCAGCAGCCCTGTGAAAGAAACAAAACATGTCAGTAACCTGCAGCAATTTAAGAAACAAGGTTTTTATCAGTCCTCTTCTAGCATCATCCCTTTTACTTTGAACTACTCATTGATAGCGGTAGCATAATCTAGAGCTGGGATCTCAGAATACTGCAGGTTCTTTCTTCAGGTATCTTTACATCTTCAGTTTGTCATTTCTACCACTCCACTTTTATCAGCAGCACTACAATCAACATTATCAATTTGCCATGTTCCAGCCTGTCTTCTACTTCCTCCTTCTCCATTACTGCTTCACAGATCCAGCTCTTTCCAGGCCACAAACCCATTTCAATCACATCTTGCTGCAGACATTACCCTTTATTTCCTTGTCCCACCCTGCTCAGTTCATATGCTCTTCCCTCAGTTCCTACACACCTGAAATTACCTCTTGCTACCTTGCATTTGAGGACTCTGTTCCCAGCCCCTTGCCTGCCTTAGGTACTATTTTGGGGCATAACATTCAGTTTGTCTTTGTAATGCCAGGATGTGCTAATACCTTCCTGTGACTATTTGACTTTCCTTGCATGTGCCCTAATGAATGGTGTTTGCCTTTGGCTGTTGGCAGGCAGAAAGACGAATGACCTTCCATTGTTGGAAAGAACTTGAGCATGTTGGCTCCTACTCCTCCAGGGACTCCTCTCTGCAAGCGAGTGGATACAGCCCTGCTGGGTAAACTGGCCACAGCAGCCTCAGAGGTGAGTGCCTCCAGCTGGGTTATCTCATGGGATAGAATTTCAGAGAGCAGGGATTTGTTCACTGAAGCGTACAGGTTGGTTCTCTTCACATTCTGGCCACCTACCTCTTCTGTTACTCTAAATTGTCTTTCCAGTGACCCTGTAAGCTTATCACAAGCCTTTTTGCCTCTTAGCATTTCCTACAGGATTGACTTGTGGCATTTCTGATGCTATGTGTTTGACAGGAGGCAGTTTCCAACATGTAAAAGCAGACAAATTTACCCAGTTCCTGCTGATAAACTAGTAAATGCTGGGGAGAGCACAAGGGGACTGTTGGGTGCAATCAGGAGGTGAAGGGCAACACATCGATTTCTGCCTGAGTCTAGAGATGTAGAAGTCCAGTAAGAGGCACACAGCAGAAACAGTCACTACATACTAGCAGTGTTCAGCAGCTCATGGGAGGCCTCTTGGTTTCCACTGACACCATGGGCCGAGTAATGACTTCTAACTGTTTGCACCTATGGATTTCAAGACAATTGTAATATGTTTGAAAGAGTAGTTAAAGGTATTGAAAAATGGAATTTGATTTCCAGTTGTTAGCAGCTTGTTTTGCATCTTCCCAAATACAGGGCATGGGCTGTTAGGTTTACAGTAACTGCACAAGGAGCTTCACCTCATGCGTTATGAATGAGAATAAAACCATCACCCGCAAGTGACCTTTCCATGCTGCTGAAAAACTGCTGCTGAATGCTATCACTTCCCAGCAGGAAGTTTATGAACTTTCTGAAATCCTGCTACCTGTCAAGGTTGTGAACAAAAGTGCTGCAGAGCATTAAAAGTGTTCCTGGATTGTCATGAACAGGAACTAAAGAGGATAATTCAGTGCTGCCAAAATTAATTGCTATGCTTTAACTGCACAGTAGCAGAAGACAGGGAACAGGTACCTGGCTGAATGCAGAACTTCAGTATTTCCTAATTCCATTACAAAAATCCTAAACCCTGACTCCTGAGAACCATAACGTCAACAGAGAGGGCAAAAATCTACAAGCAAGTGCACACAAATAAACTCAGAGCTAACTCCATGTGTTCTAACAGAGCCCTACTTCTGAGGCCTATGAGACCTTAGCCTTTTTGCAATGAAATCCAAGGGTGTGTTAAATCCATTTCTCCTTTGTTATATTCCCATTAAAACAAACCCAAACCAAACTCAAACCAGAACTAAGAGTTGACACTGGATAAACCAGGAACCACTGTGAATAAAGCCTATCGAGATTTCAGAAAACACAAAATGAAGAGTCCTCCCAGTCCCTCAACTCTCACATGCTGCTCTGCTTTTCTCTGTACTCAGAGCTGAAAAGAAGAGCCTTGGACCACACCACATTACAATGTCTTGTCATGGAATTCTCCTTTTCTCTCTGCAGATTTATGCATGTCCAGACAAAAGGTTGTTTGGAGCCATAAGGATCCAGTCTTTCGTAAATTAAAAGCCCCAGCCAAAACAACACCCCTCCTCTACCACTAGCATAAATCTCTCTGAAGACAATCCAATGACAGAGCAAAGCTGGCAGCTGTAGGTCTTAGGCTCCTATTAACAGTGCCCCATACTTGGCACACACCTCCTTGCACAGAGGATACATGGTGCCACTAACAGCATATGTACTCTTAATGCAGGGAGCTGGGAGGTAAGAAATGTCTTCTTACTGCAAAAGAGAAAGCTCTTATAAGCACAATCTCAGTGACAGAGAAGTGGCGTTCTTTATACTATCTGTATGGCTCAACAAATCCAGTGTTGTACTTCAATCCAACTTCCTGCCCTTGGTAGTGCAAGATGAAGCTCAAGAAAAGTATAGTCCAGAGATTGTTTAATAAAATTCAAAATATATTCCCAAAACTCAGGCAAACGTACCTACTGCCTTCCTGCAAGAATGCAATGGCAATCCAGATCCGATTCCTTAGGAAGATCAGCATCAGTATGATTATGACCTCAGCACCACAAAGTATTACCACTGGAAACACACAAAAGTTAGGTTTATGAAGAACTGAACCAATAGGCCTCTGTAATTCCCCCCTCTCCCTGCCCCTTGTGTTTTGCACTATTGTTCATGAACTCCATAGAATTCCCTGCTGGAGCAGCTCTTTCCTTCTCTCACTGCAGCTGCCAATCATCAACCCCATTTCATAGCTTTGTGGGGGGAAATTCTACATGCCCAGAGTTTGTCAGAATGGGCAGGACCCTGACAGTTCACCCTTAACAAATGCTGCTTTTTATAACAAGAATTTTGCACGTTTCTACTCTAATGCTGCTCCTCTGTAGCATTTAGATACAGTAAATAAAAAGGAGATGAAGAGTCAACTTTTTCCTGAAGAGTGCAGTCTTCTCATACATACTCCTCTAACATTTAGATGTACTTAAATCAACAGGCTTGTCTCAGCATTAGCTTGGCATGAGCTCCTTTCCCCTCATTTAAGTCAAAAAAAAAAACAAAGAGGCTAAGACAGTACAGTTTTGGACAAATGTTTTCACCTTCCACTTGTGCTGCTGGAATCACACAAACTTGCTCTAAGGTTAGAGAGCTGAGAGCACCGTGTCCCGGAACATTTCCTCTCTTAGTTGTGAGCAGTGTTTGATTCATAACCCAGACCTTGTTTAAAGAGTCGGCTTCTGTCTGATTTCTATTTGTGTCAGTTCAAATCCTACTGCTGCAATAGGAAGTAAAAGAATTCTCTGGACTCCACCTCCAGAAGGCAGAGTCTTAAATGCCTGAAGCACACCTCCTCTGACCTTGAGACACATCCATTAATTCCGGGAGCCTCAGAGGGTTAGACAACATCTAAACCAGCCCAGCAGTGGTGGATGGTTACACACAGCAGGACCTGTCTCCTCCAGCTGAAACCAAGAAGTTTTGTGGAAGGCGAGGAAGACAAAGGGACAGTATCCCTCAGCCATGGCATGTCTGGAGGTTTGCACAGGGACAGGGGAATTGGCTTCAGGTCCCACAGCTTTGACACAGTCTCAGAACCTGGATCCAGCTAGTCAGAGATGATGTTCAGTTGTGACCCCAAGTACTATCAGTACCCCTAGCCATCAGAGCTGCACATGGCAAGTGACCCCTGTGGTGCTCAGAGCCACAGACTTTCTTCAGAAAAAAGTTTTTGTTACACACATTTCAGCACCTGTTTTTTATATGGTTCTCCATGAAGGAATACATAGGCAGGTTCCTTTGAAGTTGGTCTCAATCCAGTTCAGCTCTGTCAAGTTAATGTAGCTTGTCTCAAGCATTGTGAAAAAGGAAAGCAATGTCAGTCAGTGATGAGTACTACACTAGGAGTAAGAGGACCTGTGTTTCCTTCAAGGATATTTAACTGATTTGCTGGGTGACTTTGGAAAAGTAATTTAATTCCTGAGTATCTCAATTTACTCATCTGAAAGTGACGCTGACCTCTGGATGAACTATACATTGGCTGCTAAGAATCAGGCAGGGGAGTTAGAAGGAAAGACATAATAAAATCCTAATATTCTCTAGGGCCAGCATGCTAAAAAGCTCTGCCTCAACAATTCGTAAAGATGCTCGTGAGCTCAATGATCCAACACAGTTACATGAAGACACAAAGCAGAGAAAGGAGATTTAAGCAGTAAACTACTGCTCTATTAATTTAGCTACCAATAGGGAGAGGGAGTGTTTCAGGTTATGTGCCATTCATTGTTAGGTCGTGTCTGTGTGCCTGCTAATAGAGCAGTAACAGCAGTGCAAGTAGTATTTGTTCTCTCTTGTGCCCCTCCTTCCCTTGGGAGGGATGCGTATGCTGCAGGCTGTCTTGTTCCAGTAAGATTGTTTTAAATACACTGCCCTTCTAAGAGAAAGCAGTGAAGCACTTGTGAAAACCACAAGTGATGACATTTGTGATGGTTCATTCCACAGCCTCAGGTCAGCCTCCAAGAAAATTCCTTGACCTGAATGTAAACAGGTGTGATGCAGAGTTATTAATCTCATTTCTGGGGCCCTCAAGGCACAAACAGACTGAAAGAGAAAAATGCCCCTCCTTATCTTCATCAGGACTTAGTTATTGCCTTCTGCTTCCCCATTGTGAAGACTGAACACACAGGAAGTAGAATGCTAGTAACACAAGCCTTTTTCACTCTCATCACTAGTGCGACTGCATTATGGCCCCTTACACATACACTAGTAGCCTTGCAGAAAAAGTAGATTTTTGTACTATACAAAGAAAGAGAATTCTGCTAATTCTATGAGCACCATATGTAGAGGAGGAGATTTAAGAAGGCAGAACTGTAGCAAGACAGCGACTGAATCTCCTGAACATCCATTAACAGATACCAAGTTTAATGGACACTTACTAAATGCTAACCATGTTTGCCCCAGCTGCGGGTACACTCTGAAGTCTGTCTGGAATCCAGTGTCAGAAACAGTGAGGTCAGAGCTGGGTATTCCTTTAAGATGGTCATACTCCTACTAACAAAGCCAGATGCCTGTTAAAAAACAATCAATATAAAATGAGTGTTTTTGAAGAGTGCGAAGACAAGGTTGGGCTTGTTTAAATCTTTGACAAGTGAAGTGTTTTGTCCTCAGCACGTCAGGTAAGCAAAACCCAAACACGCACTACTGTGAGACTAGTCAGCTATAACATCACATCTACAGAAAAGAAAGATCAGTACAAGTGAATGTGGACTAACCACGCTATGGGTAGCTAGTTCAGGTTGCTACATCTGGTAAGAAGTATCAGTGCAGCTGGATTCTTACCAAATTTCACTGCCATTTAAGCCCTTCTCATTTAACTGTGTCTAAACCTAGGCACTAGTTCTGCCAACTACAGCATTTAACTGATGTAATCACTTACTTTCCTTGCCCAAAATAAAGCAGTAAGAGAAAACAACCTCAGAGGCTGGAGGATGACACCTACCATAACCTATAATTCCAATCATGCTAAAGATGAAAATCCAGAAAAGAACCCCAGTTGTGAACCTCAATAACACAAGGAAGAGCAGACTCACAATCATCGCAATGAACAGCCCACTAGAAAGATGTGAAACAGAAACACAGGGAGAACAAGTGGGAGAATCTTTCTTGCATGCCTCTTATTCCAAATGAGGGTCACTTCATCTCATGTAGGAGTATGGTTTGCAAAAATGTATTTCAAAATCTTCCTTATGAAATATTTCCTCATGGCTCTCTGCTGTTCGACAGATTATATATGATGATCTCACCGGACACAGCCAGAAATGTGTGTGCACACAAAGTTCTCAGGGCATATGAATGGGACCAGTGCAGGTCTGGCCATTTACACTGGTTGACCAACTCACTGCCATTTCCAGGCCATGGCCTAGTCTACCGCATAGAAAGTTAAACAGGAATACCTGCATGTGGGGAGGTTGCTGGTTTATGTCCGCCATTTAAAATCCCTGCTTCCAAAGAAACAGTATTAGGAAAGTAACATTTGAGGAGCTTTCCTAGGGAAAAAAAAAATCATTTCAGGAGGAAAACCAGTCACTCTTTCTATCCATCAGAGAAGAAAATGATCAGGGCACAGTGATGCATAAATAGAACCTGTTAAGAGCCATCAGTGGGACCCCTAGGAAAGAATCTCCAGTGTCTTTATCAAGTCTGTGGTCAGGAAATATTTGCTTTCATTTCACTCCTCAGAAAGCATGTCAGAAAGGAAAGAATGACTGCAAAAGGCCTTTTTACTCGGGGGGGGCCTTCTAAAGCAATGCAAATAAAGCAGTGTAAACAATGGTTCTATCCAACAAAGATACAGCTCAGACGCTTAGCAGAACATTTCATTTCTCAGAATTTTGAGGTGTTACATCAGAATTTTGTATTAGAACAGATTCAAAAGAAATTAAACCCTTTTCTTGCCTGTGGTCAGGAACTTCTCTTCTGAATGTTCCCAGTTTATTTAGCCAGGGACTAAAGATAAAAAATGGGCCAGCCTGATCACAAACAATCAAAACCGGATGTTTGGGCAAACTAAGCCAGATGGGCAGAGGGACAAGAAAAAGAACATCCATTTATGTAGTTAAACCTTTGTAAACTGCTGTTAAGTCCCTTTAAAGGCTTCCCAGCATGATGTTTTCCCTTTCTGAATGGTTTCTTTGAAATTCAGAACGTATTCCTCAAAAAAAAAAAAAAAAAAAAGCTGCTGTTTTGGAGTTTCTGACTCTGTTCTTTAAGGCAGTAAGTTACCTTTATGCACAGTTAGCTCCAGATTTACACGAGTCCTGGTAACACCAAAACTGAAGACATGGTAACTACTGTCCTTAATAGAGTGGTTCCCTTAAACTGAGCCTCGAAAGCAGCAGTTCTTTGAGAGTATGATAAAAAGAATAGAGCAAATCCATATTTGATTTTTAATCCCGCTTCCTTTCACCATCAGGCCTTCACTCTCATCACCCAAACCCTGGCACTTTAATATGTTTCCCCATAAATCACTGGATGCATGCTGTCATTTGGTGAAAGTGTGAGGAAAATTCTATCCAACTACTTTAAAAGTAACAACAATTCCTTATAAAAGTATCCTATTTGAAATGTGGAAACTGGCTTCAGTATGGAGAAATTCTGTTCAGAAAATGGTCAGTTGCCAGCACCTATAATAAATGCTCGGAGCAATTTGGAGATATCCCAGCTGCTCCAGCCAATGAGCCGGCTTCAGTTGGAGCTCGGCTCAGATGCCTCTATACAAACGCCCGTAGCATGGGGAGCAAACAAGAGGAATTAGAGATGTGTGCACGTCTATGGGGGTATGATATAATAGGCATCACAGAAACATGGTGGGATGGCTCCTATGACTGGAGTGTTGGAATGGAAGGTTACAGGCTCTTTGGGAAAGACAGGCCTGGCAGGCGGGGAGGGAGAGTTACCCTTTATGTTAGGGATAGGCTGGAGAGTATGGAACTCTGTCTGAGGACAGGTGAACAGTTAACAGAGAGTTTGTGGGTCAGGGTTAAAGGGAGAACAGCGATGGGAGACATTACTGTGGGGATCTGTTACAGACTGCCTGATCAAGGAGAACCTGTGGATGAAGCACTCCATAGACAGATAGGAAAAGCCTCACACTCGCAGGCCCTTGTTCTCATGGGTGACTTCAACCACCCTGACATCAGTTGGAAGGACGGTACGGCCCGGCACAAGCAATCCAGGAGGTTCCTCCACTGTGTGGAAGGCAACTTCCTTCTGCAAGTAATAGAGGAGCCGACAAGGAGAGGTGCCACGCTTGACCTCGGGCTCCCCAACAGGGAAGGGCTCGTTGGAAACGTGATGCTCCAGGGCAGCCCTGGATGCAGCGATAACGAGACGCTCGAATTTGAGATCCTCAGGACAGTGAGAAGAGCGTGCAGCAAGCTCACTGCCCTGGACTTCAGGAGAGCAGATTTTGCCCTCTTCAGGAACCTGCTTCGGAAGGTTCCATGGGATATAGCCCTAGAGGGCAGGGGGGCCCAAGACTCTTGGTTGATATTTGAGGATCACCCGCTACAAGCTCAGGAGTGTTGCATCCCAACCAGAAGGAAGTGCAGCAGGAGGGCCAGGAGACCTCCCTGGATGGATAAGGAGCTCCTGAGGAAGCTTAGAGGGAAAAAAGAGGCTTATAATACGTGGAAGCAAGGAGAGGCGGTGTGGGAAGAGTACAGGGATGTTGTCCAGGAAGCTAGGCACCAGGTTAGGAAAGCTAAGACCCAGTTAGAATTAAACTTGGCTAGGGGTATTAAGGATAACAGGAAGGGATTCTACAGGTACATAGCAAATAAAAAACAGACTAGGGAGAATGTAGGCCCCCTCAGGAAGCTCTCAGGAGAACTGGCTACCCTGGATTTGGAGAAGGCTGAGGTTCTGAATGACTTCTTTGCCTCGGTCTTCACTGGCAAAGGCTCTGACCACACCACCCAAGTCTTGGAAGGCAGACGCAGGGACTGTTGAGAATGAAGACCTTGGGCCACTGAAGGAGAGGATCTGGTTTGAGACCATCTTAAAAATCTGAACGTGCACAAGTCCATGGGACCTGATGAAATCCATTTGTGGGTCCTGAAGGAGCTGGCGAATGAGGTTGCTAAGCCACTGGCCATCATATTTGAAAAATCATGGCAGTCAGGTGAAGTTCCTGACGACTGGAAAAAGGGAAATGTAACCCCCATTTTCAAGAAGGGGAATATGGATGACCCAGGGAACTACAGAACAGTCAGTCTCACCTCTGTGCCTGGCAAAATCTTGGAGCAGATTCTCCTGGAAGGCATTCTGAGGCACATGAAAAACAAGGTACTTGGTGACAGCCAGCATGGCTTCACTAAGGGGAAATCCTGCCTGACCAATTTGGTGGCCTTCTATGATGGAGCTACAGAACTGATGGGCAGGGGTAGAGCAGTTGATGTCATCCACATGGACTTGTGTAAAGCATTCGATACTGTCCCACACAACATCCTTGTCTCTAAATTGGAGAGACATCAATTTGATGGACGGACCACTCGGTGGATAAAGAACTGGCTGGATGGCTGCATGCAAAGTGTTGTGGTCCATGGCTCAACGTCCGGCTGGAGACCAGTAACGAGTGGTGTCCTTCAGGGATCAGTGTTGGGACCGGTCTTGTTCAACATCTTTGTCACTGACATGGACAGTGGGATTGAGCATGCCCTCAGCAAGTTTGCCGATGACACCAAGCTGTGTGGTTCGCTTGATATTCTGGAGGGAAGGAATGCCATCCAGAGGGACCCTGACATGCTTGTGAGGTGGGCTGATGCCAACCTCATGAAGTTTAACCATGCCAAGTGCAAGGTCCTACACCTGGGTCGGAGCAATCCCAGGCACAGCTACAGGTTGGGCAGAGAAGAGATTCAGAGCAGCCCTGTGGAGAAGGACTTGGGGCTGTTGGTCGATGAGAAAATGAACATGAGCTGGCTTCAGTGTGCGCTTGCAGCCCAGAAAGCAACCGTATCCTGGGCTGCATCAAAAGGAGCATGACCAGAAGGTCGAACGGAGGTGATCCTGGCCCTCTACTCTGCTCTTGTGAGACCTCACCTGGAGTATTGTGTGCAGTTCTGGTGTCCTCAACATAAAAAGGACATGGAACTGTTGGAACAAGTCCAGAGAAGGGCCACGAGGGTGATCAGGGGACTGGAGCACCTCCTGTATGAAGACAGGCTGAGGAAGTTGGGGCTGTTCAGCCTGGAGAAGAGAAGGCTGCATGGAGACCTCATAGCAGCCTTCCAGTATCTGAAGGGGGCCTATAGGGATGCTGGGGAGGGACTCTTCATTAGGGGCTGTAGTGATAGGACAAGGGGTAACGGGTTAAAACTTAAACAGGGGAAGTTTAGATTGGATATAAGGAAGAAATTCTTTCCTGTTAGGGTGTTGAGGCAGTGGAATGGGTTGCCCAGGGAGGCTGTGAATGCTCCATCCCTGGCAGTGTTCAAGGCCAGCCTGG